ATGAAGGATAGGGAGAACGTAAGCCAAAGTCTTACCACTGCCCGTCTGGGAATGACCTAGCAAGTTCTTTTTTGCCAGTACCTAAGAGATGCGATGAAACATAGATCTCAAGTTTGTTTTACTCACATGAGGGATCACTCTCCCTTGAATCGGTCGGAGTTTCTTGAAATGGGATTTTTCAATGAGATTGGTCAAAAGTGTTGCGTGAAGACCTGTCTGGTCCCAAGTCCTAAGCGAAAGGATAGATATAATTTCGAATCCGAACCAACTTGTATTGAATATCTTTTCCTCCAGTCGTTTTGAACTTCTCATCCATATCGAACTCGGAGTACTTTTCTTTGTTGCGATCTTCTTCAAAATCTTTTTCAACGTCACGATCTTCGGGAACCCATCCTCTAGGTGCTCGAGCTGGAGAATAGAGATGAAGAGCATACATGCAAATAAGAAACCTTGGTCAGTTGCAGGATTTTCAGAAAATGCATCGGTTCTAGGACCACGAGAATCAAAACTACTTCCGAAGTCTGAGTTGAAGGACCGGCCTCTTCCTTAACTTAGCGTTGAATATGGTATAGTTGTGAAACCCACCTCGTCCTCCCCTGAATGATCCTCTAGAACCACCTCGATTGCTGTTACCGAAATCGTCATCATCACCGTAATTGTTTCCACTCTCGGAGAATCTATTGTTCTTGCTGAAATTGTCGCGTTTCCCCTCGAAGCGATCTTCATTGGCATCACGATTATCTCCAAAACTGTTGTAACCTCGAGACTCATTATGTCCACCTCTTCGACCAGAGTTGTTCCCATCATAGTTTCGCCGGCTAGAGTTGTAATCATTCGTTGAATGACCATTGTATGAGTTGTTGTCGAATGATTGTCTTTCACCATTATAGCCGCCACGAGTCGGACGAGAGGGTTTATCATCAGAAATTTTCCAGCTTCTGTTGGAATAACTTGCGTCGTAACCAGAATGATTCTGGTCAGAATTGGGACGTGCGCTTCTCGTGTCATTATAATCTCTCTCATTGCCACGGTAAGTTCTGGAGTTATCGTCATGGGAACTGATTGAATCCTCTCTTTTTCCGAAAGGAGAACCGTTTTGTTTCTCGTTATTATCTGGTCGTAAACTTGAGCGACCAGCGGCGTACATACCGCGTGCGGGAACACTTCTACTCGATCTTTCACCGAAACTATTCTCCTGGTTTGTTGTGGAGTAACTTCTATAAGGGCTACTTGCTTGTGAAAATTCGTAACCGGTAGATCGATCGTTTTCGTCGTTGGAATAGCTGTTCTGATTCTTGCTACTGTTCCAGGAAGGCATGTCACGTCCATTGCCTCGAATAGGATCCTCACGAATATTGTTTCTTTTACCAAAATCCTTGGCCAGATTGTATCGATTGCTGAATCCTCCGTTCATGCTAGAATCAACGTCGCGATATTCCCCGCGAAAGTTCTGTTGTTCGAAGCTTGGCCTCTCATGTGCTTGAGGATTTTTTCGATGATGGTCGTCTTTAGATGACGGGTTAAAATATGATTGATGGTCTTTGCTGGGCTCATCGCCATACTGAGACCTGTGATCTTCGTATGGGTTCCGGCTTGAATAAGACGAATTTCGCTCGTTATACCTATCACCGTTGCTACGGAAACCTTTCTGTTCTCTGCCACCTAAGAATGAATAATTGATTTGAATAATTGTGGAAACTCGCCTGAACTACCAAACGTTGATGAAGCTGGTTCGTTTCCTCTGGTTTCTTCGAAGAAGTTTCCAGGTTTATAGGGTGGGCTGTTCCTGTTATGTCTCATCCTGCAAAAAAATGATGAAAAGACACAAACAGTTGCGAAATCATTGAAAATATGAAGACTTTCGATAGTTTATAAAATTTTAATAAGAATTAAACATAAGACGTGACTATGAAAAAGCGCCAAATTGGTTCAACTCTTTTCGATTTCGCCGAAAATGTTTTGCAACCTATCTGTAAACCTCTAATTGCCATAAAGCACAGTTCCAAGTACTATACGGCATCATATTTAACCACTCGTTATTTCATGTTTCACTACACCGAGTTGGCGCCAATGAATGTGGCTGGCGCGTATTCATCTCTTTTTACTGGAAAAGGAGTTGCAAGCGGCATAACATGATACTCTTTGTTACGACTATGCGTATGTTCAAACATACTCTAGTATTTATTTGCTTACATTATAATGCATCTTTATCACATAAAAATTATAGTTAATTCGAGCAAACACAATCAGTTATCACAACTCCGTTAAAATAAAAAATAAGAGCAACTGTTTCCATTTATTTCAAACTACTAGACTCCATCCAATTTCTATCATTGTGAAAATATTTTCTCCCAGTTGTGAAGTTATATTTTGTATTCAAGATTTCCTTCATGTTATGATCTCATTTTCAAATTATGGGAGAGAAGTTGAATTCACAGTGTTTTGAGAAGAAGACATGCTTGGAATATTTTTGCATTTGAAACCGTTATTCCCAATTGAAAATGACCTTCAGCTGCCCAACTCACTCTTCACATTGTTTCATCTTATGAGAGAAGATTTGCATAGGTAACTTATTTCAGAATAGTTCATTCAATAGGACCAGTTGTTCTAGGCTTCATGCTAGTGTAATGAAAATGAACAATGGATCAATGGATAAATGACTGCGTTGATAGAAAATCGCCGTCGTTAATCCACACAAGTCCTCTCTGATTGATTTATCACTGGTACTATCTTAACTGTGCTCTTCACTTTTTGTAAATTTTGTTTCATTGTAGAAGTAAAATTAAGAAAATTCTATCATTTTTCAAAGCCTTACAGTGTTTTCCCTCGTTTTCTTCAGTCGTAAACATCATTTGTGTTTTACGATAATAGATGTTATCCATTATAAAGATTTCTTTAGTTCATATAAAGAGATATAGAGAAACATGTTGCAAAATCTTTCAATCGATGAGAGAGTGAGAAAGCAATATGTTTCATTACCATTGTCTTCGAGTATATACAATTTATTGTTCTACCACCATTTTACGCAGAACAAAAAGCTCTGCTCAGTATAAATTGATTTGTGTTGCGAAGTTTTGTCACAATTTTCTGTTCGTTCCTTTATTGCAATTTTTTTTCCAGAATGAATCATGATAGACGTAGTCTTCCATATGAACGATACAATCCACCTTCGGATGGTGAGAACAGAAGCTCATACCCTCGACAACGCATTGGAATGGTTAATTCTCGAACTCAGAATGAAGTAGATCATTCCAAAGGATCGTATCATGACCCATGGAGCCGGGAACATCAAAGAACCTATAGGCAGTCTCCCGAGAGACCACAATTTCAAAACTTTGGAAATGATGATGTTCATTCAGAAAGAAATCACGGAGGATTCGATAATCAGAACGAACGATATAATGTTGCCAGAGGTTATGAAAGAGGGAGCAACACTCGCGGCAGTTCTAGCCGAGGAGGACGTGACTTCTCATCCTGGATAAAAGAAAAGAATCAGATTAATTATTTCAACGAAGAAAATTATAGCACTGCGATTGATCATAATACTATTGATGAATACTATCAAGACCAGCGTAACGGTTACGATACACCTAGTAGAGATGTTCCAGCTCGTGGTAGTTTTGCTGCTGGTCGTACGAGTTACCGGTCTGATAACCAGGATAACAATAGAAGGCATAGTAGGGATGTTCCAGCTCGTGGTAGTTATGCTTCTGGTCGTACGAGTTACCGGCCTGATCACCAGGATAACGATGAAAGACATAGTAGAGATGTTCCAACACGTGGTGGTTTTGCAGCTGGTCGTACGAGTTACCGACCTGATAACCAGGATAACGATGGAAGACATAACAATGATGTTCCAGCTTGTGGTAGTTTTGCTTCTGGTCGTACGAGTCACCGGCCTGATCACCAGGATAACGATGAAAGACATAGTAGAGATGTTCCAACACGTGGTGGTTTTGCTGCTGGTCGTACGAGTTACCGACCTGATAACCAGGATAACGATGGAAAACATAGCAATAATGTTCCAGCTCGTGGTAGTTTTGCTTCTGGTCGTTCGAGTTACCGGTCTGACAACCAGGATAACAATGGAAAACATAGTAGAGATGTTCCAGCTCGTGGTAGTTATGCTGCTGGTCGTACAAATTACCGGCCTGATAACCAGGATAACGATGAAAGACTTAGTAGACATGTTCCAGCTCGTGGTAGTTTTGCTTCTGGTCGTTCGAGTTACCGGTCTTATAACCAGGATAACGATGAAAGACATAGTAGAGATGTACCAGCTCGTGGTAGTTATGCTGCTGGTCGTTCGAGTTACCGGCCTGATAACCAGGATAACGCTGAAAGATATAGTAGAGATGTTCCAGCTCGTGGTAGTTTTGCAGCTGGTCGTTCCAGTTACCGGTCTGATAATCAGGATAAGGATGGAAGACATAACAATGATGTTCCAGCTCGTGGTAGTTTTGCTGCTGGTCGTTCGAGTTACCGGTCGGATAACCAGGATAATGATGTGAGACATAGTAGAGATGTACCAGCTCGTGGTAGTTTTGCTGCTGGTCGTTCGAGTTACCGGCCTGATAACCAGGATAACAATGGAAGACATAGTAGGGATGTTCCAGCTCGTGGTAGTTTTGCTGCTGGTCGTACGAGTTACCGGCCTGATAACGAGAACAACTATGGAAGACATAATAGAGATGTTCCCGCTCGTGGTAGTTTTGCTGCTGGTCGTTCGAGTTACCGGTCTGATAACCAGGATAACGGGTATGATGGAGTTCCTAATAGCGATTCAAGAAGTTTCACCAATAACACGAGAGCATCATTCAGGGGAGGACGAGGTGGGTTTCACAAACATACCATATTCAACGCTAAGTTAAGGAAGAGGCCGGTCCTTCAACTCAGACTTCGGAAGTAGTTTTAATTCTCGTGGTCCTAGAAACGATGCATTTTCTGAAAATCCTGCAACTGACCAAGGTTTGTTATTTGCGTGTATGCTCTTCATCTCTATTCTCCAGCTCGAGCACCTAGAGGATGGGTTCCCGAACATCATGACGTTGAAAAAGATTTTGAAGAAGATCGCAATAAAGAGCAGTATTCCAAGTTCGATATGGATGAGAAGTTTAAAACGACTGGAGGAAAAGATATTCAATACAAGTTGGTTCGGATTCGAAGTTATATCTATCCTTTCGCTTAGGACTTGGGACCAGACAGGTCTTCACGCAACACTTCTGACCAATCTCATTGAAAAATCCCGTTTCAAGAAACTCCGACCGATTCAAGGGAGAGTCATCCCTCATGTGAGCAAAAAAAACTTGGGACCTATGTTTTACCGCATCTCTTAGGTACTGGCAAAAAAGAACTTGCTAGGTCATTCCCAGACGGGCAGTG